CTAAGAAAGTTACTTACTTCTACAAACGCAGTAGCGATCTGTACTTCACAGGAATGTGGACGCTAACGGCAGGATATTTGTCGACAAGAATTTGAAAAAATTGCACGACGCAATTCGCTAAAATTTATACTAATTAAATTAGTATTAAAAAACAGAGCAGCGGATATCCGCTTCTATTAATCAGATTAGAGTTTATAAATATAACGCCTAAAGCCTTCCTTTTAGAAAAATGGAGACGATATATCTTCTTGACACGTATTTAGAAGAATTTCTGAAGTTATATAAGGTTATTAGGTAAAAATTAAATTAGAAGACTATACACAGATGAAAACAGCAACTACAACACCCTTGTTGAAGAAAAAAGCGTTCAGCTGCAAACAGAGATGGTGAAACCTTTTGTGTGACGTGCAACAAAACAGTCGAAACGACCAAGAGCACCAAGAGAAGACAGTATTACAATAGAACTAGTGAAATTGACAGATGCAGCGCTGATAAAGTTATTAGTGCGCTTGTTTTCACTCTGTTCGAAAGAACTGAAATTTCTAACCGATTGGACTACCATTTCTGATATTCTACTCTACAAACAATAGAGATAGAGAGAACCTGAAGAATCACAGAGCGATCAGTTCGGAAGTAGATTCAGTACGATGGACCCTCTCCAGGTAATAAAGCAAGTAATCAAGACAAGCAGGGAATATCAGCTAACTCTCTACCTGGGGCTGGTGAATTTTAAAATTTTGACTCAGTCTATATTCGTTGTATACTAGATGTTTTGAGGAGCTATGGAACCGAGATAAGATACAGAAACCTCATCACTACGATTCACAAGAATGCAACAGGGAGGGTGCAACAAGGAAGCATAATCAAAAGTTCAAATTCTAAAAATAGAGAGATGTAAAATTACCGAAGTTATTTGCAGACGTAGAAGGTTTTCAGTGCATTCATTTCAGAAAATCTGGGGCTTAACAAAAACTGGAACTATTTGGGCTACCGACAGTTTGCGGACATTATTCCGATCTTCGCAAGGTCGCCAGAATAACTCTAAAGTAGAGCTAAACGATGTCAGTATCAAAGAAGGACTGAAAATGAAGCTTAAGAAGCTTCAGGCCATGTTGTGAATATACGCGTCTCCGTCACCTGTTGAAACCAATAAACCTAGAATTGAAAAAGCGCAAAACTATGTCTATTCAGGATAGCTCTTCTCTGTAATGGAGAACCGATTGTGATATCAGCAGAAAAACTGAAATGGCACTGAGCATTGAAAACGTTGCTATCCAGAAAACTGTCATTCTGTCTGAACAGAAAGTTTTCGATATGGGTGATTCGATCATAAAGTTTCTATGATAAACTTATTTCTCTAAAAAGTGCGAAAATTAGATGCAAAAATGCTCAGAACTACAGTAAGAAAATTGGTTATACAACAAAGTTCTAGAAGGAACCAAAAGAAATAAAACCGACCGAAAGAACCATAAAATGTGTTTAAAAAAACACATTTGCAGTACGAATCTTCGCGTAACAATAAATAACAGAAACTGTAACTTTTCGCATATACAACAATAACTAAATTACCGACAGTCTTCGGACGAAAGATTGGCGCCTCATTCGTTTCTACACTGGGTATGCTAGCTGGCACAGACGCACTGGTACAGGGTTGTTCTTCAGGTGCTAAAAAACTACTACTCCGCAAGAACTGCAAACGACTTAGGATAACACGGTCAGAAACATACAGATAAAAAATATTATAATTTAACACACGCGGGACGTTTCGACCAAATGGCCATCGATCGTCGCACACAGAGTATAAAGATAAATAAACAAATGTGTTAGGTCAAGTGGTGTTCCATAATTGGAAGAACGTTTGGGTGTTCCACAACCAGGCAATTAATTCACAAGTTATAGGATTACCAAACAAAGCTAAAGCAACTGTGAGTTCTATTTTGCTTCGTTGTAATGAGAAGCGAGTCGATGAATAGCGTGGCTATTTTTAATGAAGTACAATGACAATATCTTTCCAGGGTTAGGACAGCAACTATTGAAAGAACAGCGTTACAACTCTTAATGACATTTCTGTAATCGGCTATTCCACTTTATACTGATCTGAAAGCTTTGCCGAAATAAATCGAATCCCAGATATTACATGCAACTTCACACATAACATTTCTGCTTCTAACCCGGAATATGGAGCATATTAAGTATGACGCCCATAAGTAAGTAGCGCGTCGACAACAGGTTGCTTTTGGACAGACAGCAGAAGAAAAGACCAGGTGAGCATATAGAAAACGTTAACTAGTCACCAGGTATTAGCAAGGAATAAAAAAGCAGAAAATGAAACGAATATGGGAGATATTGCAGAGAATGTTATAAAACTATGGAGAACAACAGAAAACTTGATGAAGAAAACAAGAAAGTGAACAAAATGCAATTGAACAAATTGATTTTAAAAGAAAATGCTAAGAAATAGAAGTACATCAGATAAAATTATCGATGATAATGATAATTGATATCTTATCAATGCCTAATCTAGACTTTTAATCATCTTATTTCTACTTTTTTATGCTATATTAGTGTGAGCAGTCAATGTTAAATTTAACAAACGTGAAATTTTACTAATCATCATATCGGAACGATCAACACAAAAATTTGCATGAACCTTTAGCGATACAGATAGGAAAAATTCTTCGCTGTCAACCCATTTCAAGTTAACGGAATGTTCTGATTTCATCATTTGCATGCGTCGCAACCTTTCATATGTTATTTTATACGGAACCATCTACTACCTCACTTTCAGGTTTCTAATGGCCAAACTATGACAAACAGTCAGTAGATCAATCCATGCATCAGCTATTTAATAATTACTAGAATGTACAATTTCCTGTTACAAATACTGGATTTTTTTCTCCTCCAGAGCGTAAATAAGCAAATGCGACATGTTAACATCATAAACTGTTAGTATATAATAGTGTGCCAAGTAAGAAATGACTTGTTCAAGACCATTTAATATAACACTATATATATACAGCCTAGCTTCCAAGGCGCGACACTGCCAGATCTATAAAATCGAGAAATCTGATTCGCCTTCTGTCCTTGGGTCGCCTTTAGCTTAGCTAAAAGAGTGAATCCGCAGAGTCGCACATGAAGCGTCTTCATCACATGACTAAATCATCGCAACTGTGATCTCTCAAGTTACTGAAGTAGTGACTCAAATCGAGGAAATTTTGAACCGCCGTGTTCGAAACCTTCTCAGATGCACCACACCGGCAATATTTGAAAAAAAATTTCATACCATCGTTTGTATTCATAACCAGAGGCACGGGTAAATGCGTAAACAGATATGAAGGCAGACAGTTTCACAACGAAGCTCATCTCGCTGTTTATCATCATAGACCAATTTGATCCTTATGTGAATTTTGACATTCTGCGTACTAGCACTCGCGAATGCTACCACGAGGTATTTGAAACTTCCTGCCTGCTTAAGCTGCACTCCAATTACGTGTACAGTACGGTAATCAACCTTTCTCGGGAGTACAGACACCTCAAGGCTTTCGTCTGCCGGCTTTTGCTGTTGTTCTCGTTTCGTAGAGCAGCGAAGCCGCGGTCAAATAATGACAAGCGCATGTTAGAAATCAGTGTTCGTTAAGCGAACATAATGAGATCATTCACAACAACAGATCACTCAACTGAACCGCTCCAACCATGATTTTCCACCTGCTTAGGCTGAATCTGCTGATCGTATCGATGGAAATTAAGAACAGGAGGATGCAACATATTTTAATGGCAGAGAACAATGAGCACCTTCAACGATGAGTTCATACAACTTCTATATATATATCATATATCGTTGAAATCTTCAGAGGGTCTATTCTGCATATAAATTTTGTAAAATAAACTCTTACGTTTCAGGTCAAGCCAGATCCACGTGGCACTGTATAACAAGCACAATAGGAAATGCCAACAATAAACATCAATAGGCATCATATCAACATATTAGTACATCACGCGTAATTTGCCATATGCAAGTGTGACGTAAAGCCTGACATTCAAGATACCACCTTGCGCTCAAAACATGTAAACCTGTTTACCACTAAAACATCAACAAAATTTTAACACAATATTCAAGCGCAAGATTGTGGGACTACAGCGTTTGCTAAAGTTATTTAATGAATGACCCTCTATTACTACTGAAAGTTTTGCATTTTAAAAACAAAGTAAATTTACTTGATTTGCATGACTGCTTGAAGTTTTTTTCGTGCTGCTTGCAATACTTTGGGTAATCAGCATAATGATCATCATCCTCATCGTCCATATCACCATCTTCGTTAGCATGTTCGACCGCCAGCTTCGTAAATTTATTGCACAGTTTCGTTGACGCCATTTTCTCGGCTTGACAAGTTCTAGCCTGTTTGCTTTTGTGTTCATCGACAGCTGACGAACTAACTGGGTCCCTAAAGAATTTAAACTTGTCATATTTCTACTTATGTAATGTCTGAACCTGAAACGTCACAGTAAAGTAGGAAATTACTTCGGGGCAAGTTTTTAAGGCAGACCAATTACATTAAAGCAGTATATAATATATCTTGATTCTAGGTCGATAATTTTTTAAAAATTCTGGATGCCTAGCTAAAAAATTAAACGTCCTCTATTCAACATATGTATGAATATACGGAAACTTGCTCTCTTTCCTGGCGATTCTGCTATAAAATGATGCACATCTTCATTATTTATAGGAGGTCGCCCGATCAGTTAGAGAATTATCAAAATTCTTCTTTTCATGTGTTAAATTTTCACGCTCCGCTCAAAATACAAAACGTGACAAAAAGCTTCAGCTGACGACGTTGACGAGTGATGGTAGTACAAATAATGATTCAGTCGCAGTTTGAAAAAGTCCGAATATGCTTCTCTCATCAAGATCTGCATCTGCAACTGTCATGCATTAAGTTCTACAATGGTTGAAGTGACATCGATGACCCAATATTCCAGCTTCATAGCTGACTTATACGGTTCATATTTACCGTCTTATAATTTTTATTTTCTGAGATTCTATCTACTAATATGATTTCGCTAAAAGTATCCCAGTTTCTCCAGTCAGCAATTTATGCACGAGATTCTGGATTATGTTCAGCCCTCTACAGAATAAAAACAAAGAGAAAGCAGAGCTTTAGTATTAATCAAACTCACCATTCGTACATGTCAGGAGTCACATAACTCCATTCATCGCAGCTTACGTACTTTACGAGCATCGTCACTAAAAAGTACCTGAAAAGAAAAAATGCCATAACGAGTAACGCAAAAACACAAAATCTATTTAAGGGTTTTAAGAATATTACATGACAAATAAGTTAAGCACAAGTTAGAAAAAAGTTATGCAATCATCACGGCTAAAAATAATGCTAAAAATGTTGCTTCATGTCATCTAATATAGTTGCCATATAGAGAATTCCGTACCGATTTTTGCTCCTATTCTAAAGAATGAAGAAGATGGACAAGGGAGATGCATGAATGGTTTGTGGGGGAAAATGAACCAATATTGTATGTATTACTTCGTGGGATCGTTCGCGCTAGAGTCTACTACGCAACGACCTACTGTACAAAAATGGCCGAAAAGCGGGTGCAGATCTACCGTCTGAAAACCAGAATGTTAACAGATGACAGTAATGAAGAATTATCCTTTCATTGTGGTAATAATGTAGCACAAACTGATTAACAAACGGTTCATGTAGCTTCATCGTATACAAGCACTTATTTAACACAATCAAATAGCATAATTTATCATCCAGCGCAACGCTTTGCTATTTTCGTAGGGTGAATACGGTTAGTTGTTACCTTTGTTAAACACCCTTTTGGCCTTCCTCGGCTCTCGCTCTTAGCACAAGTGAAGTCGGTATTAGTATCACTTTCTACAGATACTAATATTACTTCCCATAATTGAAAGTTGGATATTAACGTGCTTTAAAACTCACTAATTATTTATCAGGTTCTTTCAGAAGATTGGTAAGAGTTGTTCGAAACATCACATTCATAATGTTCTACTGAAGTGGTGTTCTACCTCCATGATTATATAACAGTTTATAACCTTAGCTAAATTATATTAG